GTGTCTGCAATAGACTAACTATATTTCCAGAAAAGACACTTAGTTTTAGTCAACCATTAAAAAAAAAAATCAACGCCAAGTTAACTGGTTAACCCTAAAGAGGAGTCATCAAAATCTTAAATCTTATTTAATGTGATTGTTACTCAAGACCAATTTACGACACAGTCTACCAGAGGTGGCCATAAGGAATGCTCTAATACATCTGAACACATTGTACTCTAACAGTCGAACACCCCATGATTCAAAGACTTGAAGCAGGAACTCAGCCTGCCTGCCTGTGTTTGGTAAAGGGGCCTATTGGTTACTTAAGTAAAATACATACTTTGGTTGTTTCCTGGTAGTGGAGACTTTCTTTGTCTACAGGAAAAGAAGGATTTATTTTGAAAAACAGTTGTGTAAAAATTCTACTGGGAAATTTGGATTTTTTTAAACCTAGTCATGATAATAATTCAAGATGGTAGTAATAAATTGTTCACTAAATAACAGAAGCATCTTTAGTCCAAAGTGCCATATTCTTCCCAATTTTTTCTTTTAAAGCTTTCTTTCTTGAGTTTTCACAGACACACACATGCGTGTGCACACACGCACATGTGCACTGCCTCCAAGATTCTATTAACTCCTAATAATGTATCAGAAGCAAGCCGTCTCCGGGGTCTAGTGGAAAAACATTGCCTACAGGCTCGCCTGGAGCCCTGAACTTTCTCCCATCTTCCGATATTCAGCTCTGTGATCTCGGAAAATTCATTTAACACCGGGACCTTACCTTCCCCACCCATAAAACAAACGAGAATGAGAAGCTCTAAGGCTGAGAATCTGCAGCCTTAGTCTGACCAGCAGTGGAGACCATTCACACACAACAAGGCTCACCTTCTGGTCACTGGCAAGGGAAGCGATTCTGCTGTGAGCTGACTGACAGAGCCCCACTGACCCAAAGGTGAGGTGAGGGTTGCAAGGTGGCAGTAGGGGAGAGTGGAGGCAGCCTCTCCTCCTGAAGGTCTCTGTGCCTCGTACGAGAGGCCTTCCTGAATTTCATGGAAAAATGGAATTAAAGCATAAATTCATTTTAGTGCAGAAGCCAGCTTGCCACCCACACGTAGTTCTCTACAGTCGGCATTTTCCGTGGGATCTAGAGGGCCTGCGATGCCTCCCTACTGCTGCCTTCTCAGACTGGCCTGCGTGCCCTTGCCCTGCCAGCCTGGGTACCGCTGACTTCCAACGGGCAGCGAAGCCCAGCCCGAACCCGACCTTTCTCTCCGATTTGCTGCCCATCATCCCCTGCACACGGGGCTGGCCTCTACCAGGTGAAGGGTGGGAGCGTGTGCAGTGTGTCTCTGCTCGGCCAAGACCGTAGGGCCACTTGCCCCAACCAGCTGCCTGGCATCTGCTTTCCGACCTGCTTTGTTGTGCTTCAGTGGCCGTGCCACCAGTGCACGTGGGTTGCTCACCTCATGTGTCCCCAGCCTCCACAAGAGTCTAAATGCTGGGGGTGTTCTGGATCTCTGTTTTACATAAAGCAAAGCCTGGGAACGTAATAGGCGTTGTTAGGATTTGTCGAGTTAATGCAACATGCATTAAGGTAAATCCAGACCTATGCTCCCATGTTTCCACTGATCTTTCCCCGCAAGTCCTGTCCCACAGGGAAGTCTGCTGAGTGTGTAACCAGCTAAGGTGCCAGGCCTCACCGTGCCTCACCGTGCCTCACCGTGCCTCACCGTGCCTCACCGTGCCTCACTGTGCCTCACCATGCTCACTGTGCCTCACTGTGACTTGTGGCCAGCAAGTACTTCGGCCTCACTTTGTCGATGAGGAAGCTGAGACTCGAGAGGCTCCGTGCCTCTCTGTAAGGCACAAGCAACTGAAGCCAGTAGCAGAGCTAAGAACGAGCATGTCCTCATCCCCCAGACCTGCACCATCTCTGGTTACTGCCCTATTTCTCCAGATACCCAGGGCATCCCGACAAGTAGCCATCGACGAAACTCAGTGGAAGCAGCGGAGGCCTGGCTAGAACTACGATGCCGTGTGTGAAACCAGGTCATTTCTTAAAGCGGTGAGGGTAACACATGCTCTTCCACACTGATCCTATCGCCGCGGGGAGCAGGGGCGGGGCAGTGTCTAATACTGCAGGTCAGCTCCTCTTCTGGGGCAGAGACAGAGCAGGGTGGCTTGCACCGACCCCTGCTTGGACAGGAGAGGGGAACCTGATACAGAAGGACTGTCACAGCCAGGCGACCAGATCAGAACACTAGAATCACATGCAGTTATGCAAATTACACTCAAAAGAAGGGGCTGCTGTGAAGAAATCCAGACTTGTCTGGCTCCCTGGACCGAATACCTCCTGAGCACAGCGGCCCCCGGGTACTTGGAAATACAGACCTGCCTGTGTGTGAGGACGAAATACCCAGGTGCATAAGGGCACATCCCAGAGTCGCTCAGAGCTAACTTTTCCAGGTCTAGCAGGGAAGGCGTATTCTGCCACCGTGTTTACGAACCAGCCTGGATCTGGGGTGTCTTTGGCCCCGTGGGTACAGGGCCACTCAGTGCTCTTCCAGGGAAGTGTTCTTGTAGGAGCTCTTGAGCAGAAGGGTTAGGAATGGAGAGGACTGGAAAGAGTCTATTGTAGCGGTAACTTAATCCCACCAGTTTGTTTTCACAAAGATTATGAAGCTCAAGCAGGTTTAAAGAATTGTGTGCTCTCACTGTGAGGCCAGAGGTCAGCTGGCCTCTGTTCTGGCCCACTGTCCCTGGCAAACACAGTGTTTTGGCCATGGTGAGAGTGGAATCTGGGACGCCCGAGACCCAAAGGCCACAGGTGTACACGAACCGTGCTTTCACTCAGTTGAAACACCAAAGTAGACAGTAAAGACTCAGCCTTTCAGAACTTGGGGAAATGGAGAGAACTTGAAAAGCCACCCTTTCCAAGGTGGGTGACTCTGCACAGCAAGATCACCTGGAAGAGAAGGGTGCTGTGGGGAGGTCGCTGTGTGGGCGCGAGCTGGGGAGAAGAGCAGGCCTCCAGTCCCCTCCTTGGCAGGCAGTGCCACTCGGGGCTCAGCCAGTGCACACGGCCTGCGTGCCAGTCCTGTGTCTACAGAGGTTAGCACATCCTGGGTACGCAGACCACAGCTTCCTCCCTTCCCCGGCGCTGGGAGGGCTGAGCAGTGGCTTGCCTCACTTCTCCTTAGGGTGTCCACATCGAGACCCCAGGCGGCCTTAGCACCCTTCCGGATCCGGATCCGGGGCCTGCGGGCTAAGTGTGAGTGCCCGTCTCCTGGCGGGCGTGCTTTCTAGAGCAGAGTGAGGAGCAGCTCATCACTGAACTGGGTAGGGAGACACGCCAAGAGGAAGCTCAGACAGAGACCCCCACCCCGAGGCCCCCATGGGAGCTGCCTCTCCTGCTCCCTTCAGGCTTGAGAACCCAGACATCCAGGAGCCCTCAAACCGTCTGTCTCATCTGAAGACATTCAGATGGTCTCTTTTGCCCAAGTCAGCATATTTCTGACTTTTACCAAAAGAAAAAAAAACCTTAGAAAATAAAAACCACGACCCGCCCAGATGATAAAAATCTCTTGAATTCAACAGGCCTAACACCTCGGCCTCTTCCCTCGGCCTCTTCCCTCGGCCCCAGCGAGCTGACACCGGGTTCTGGGGAATGGCGGGCCCTGCCAGCCCCAGCTCACCATCCCTAATAGTTTTTCCAGACAACCCCTGCTCCGTGCAGCCGCAGCCTCCCGGTCCCATTCATTCCCTGTCGTCTGGCCAGGCGCTGGAGACGTCCTGCTTGCTCCTGCCCCACTCTCCCAATGCAGAGGTGAAAGCTGCCACCCCTTCTGCAGCCCGCCTTGGGACCAGAAACTCCAGGTCCCTCCCTGGGGCTGCACTTTGCAACCTGGGCTCTGGCATGGCGCCGAGGTGGTGAGGCTGGCTCCTGGCTGCGGGCAGCGCGGGGGAGCAGCCCTGAAGGCCCAGGACCCTCTTGCAGAAGACAGCTCCAGGGGCCTGCGTTGGGGGGCGCGGAGGACCCTGGCGTGGGGCGTGGGACCCGGAGAAGGAGACTCCCAACCGGAGAAACGCCTAGGCCGGCCCGTCAGTCCCCGGAGCCGGCGCCTGGGGAGCCTCTAGAACCCAGCAGCAGAAGTACAGAGAGGGACGAATCCAGCCAGAGCTGACGTGTAAACAGGGGCTTGCAGGGCGCCTCAGACAGACCCCAGACACTCGCTGGCACCCCTATCCGCCGGCGGCGAACCCACTCACCGCCCTAGGGCCCACCAGGCAGGGACTGCGCCGGCGGCGGCTGCAGCCCCCCCACCTCCGCCACTTTCGGCCTTGGGCGAGAGGAAGCCGGCCGCCTGGGGAGTGCCAGCTCCGGGCCAGGGCGCCTGGTTGCCGGGGTACTGGTGGACCCGGAGGTCTGCCCCCTCCGCAGCTCCGCCGGCAGCGCGATGGGAGGGGACCTGGCCCCACTTTGGGGCAGGGGGTGCCGGAGAGATCGCCCTCGGGGGCGGGGGGAACCTGGCCGAACGCCCCGCGAGTGGCACTCGTTCGCCGGCAGCCCCGCCGCTTACCTTAATAGTCCCGTCCATCTGTCCAAGTCTGCAGCCGAGCCCTCCAATATCCCACACATTGACACGGTTACAGCCAGCCCTCGCAGCCCCTGCGGCCCAGCCCGGCGCGGCCTCCCGGGCGCCCTGGGCCCTCCCTGCGTGCCCCCTGCGAGAGCCCTGCCCTCGCGCCCCTGCGCACGTTTGTTGTTGTAGCGGAGTGAAAAAGAGACAGTTAACCGGATGAAACTTTTTTTTCTGCTAATTTTGGGAAGTGACTTCACTTTGCGAATCGGAGAGGAAGTCCTATCTCTCTCTCTCTCCCTCTCTCTCCTCTGTCTCGTGCTCTGTTCTCTCTGCTCTCCCCTCTGCTCTCCCTCTTCTCCCTCCCCCCACACCCCCTCTTCCTCCCGGCTGGTCCTGCTTTTCGCATCACACACTATATAAATATCCGCGCAGATGCCCAGACACATCGCGGCGTTCACAGGATACCGGCCCCCGGGAGATAAGAGCTGGCCGGGAACAATGACGGGGTCCACGCCCAGCGTCCGCCCTGATTCCCGCAGCCGGCAGCCCCCACCGACACCTTCCCCCAAATCCAGAGCCAAACGCCTTTGCCCTCTTTCCTTTCCCGGGGCCAAGGCCGGAGGTGGCCCTCCTGACTCATTCACTTTCCGTTTCTTCCCACAGATACGTTCATTAATGCTTTTTCCAGCCCGAGGCGCACGTTGGGGGTGGTGGATCGGCGGGAGCGTTTACCAGGGCTGGGGGGAACCTGGCGCCCGCTGCGGGGACCATCCGGACGCTGACTACGTCCTGAGCAAACCGACCGTTACAAAGCGCGTCCGATGGGGTTTTTCCACTCGGCCCTCCGCCGCCGAGACGCGGCAGACTCCGGAGCGGCTCGCTAGACCCTCGACGCGGACTCCGGGCGGTGGAGGCTGACCCGCACCGTCGCGGGCGCGGCCTCCACTTGGGGCGTATTGTTAGAAGGGCGCCCTCGGGGCGGCCCTGGGCGCGGGCGCCCGCGGGTGGCGGGAACCGGGCACCTAGGCCCCCTAGCTGCATCTTCCCGGGTCAAGCCCTTCGCACTTGCTGGAGCTCTGACTCCTGAGCCAGAATCGCCCTTCCGAGAGCACCCCAGCCCCAAGAAGCTGACCCTGTGGCAGCACGGTCCCTCCATGGGCGTCGGCGGGTCCCGGGCGCAGCACGCAGCCGCTCCGCACAGATCCGGACTTGGCCCTGGGAGAGACCCGGGCGCCCGCGCTCCGGACAGTCATCCTCACCCAGCCCCGAGGCGGCCTCACCTCGTGCCAACGCGCCCTCCTGGCCCACCTGGAGACCCCCGGGGCCCTGCCCCGCCGCCGCGCGCTCAGGTGGGAGCAGCCTCGGGGCCAGGCGCTCTCGGCCTGACTCTCTTCTGGGGACTTCCAAAATAAGTTACCTTGTCCTGGCTCTCCAGACACGCTTTGGATTTTCTCACTTTTATTTAAGATTCCTCCCGGGGACAAAGAAAAAAATCCAGAGGAGATCCGAGTCAATTGAAAAAATAACTTTCAAAAGGGTGTCCACAGCAGCGAAAAAGGTGATATTAATTCTTTATTTCTTCAGGAGCAATTGAGCCCGAGAGCTCTCGCTCGCCTCCCACCCTCCCCCTCCCCTTTTCGAAATTAGTCTCATCAATTCAGCTCCAATTTTGGGTTCGAATACAGACAGGGGTCTGAACGTGACCAGGCCTGGAGTGGCGGGTGCAGCCTGCCAGCAACCCAGACTTGCTGAGCGTGTGGGGGTGGGGTGGGGTGGATGGTGGGACGGGGCCTGACAGGCTCCCCCCTCCTGTCTGCTTCTCAATCCAGGGGTCTGCTCGGGGCTCCCCTGGGACTGCCACATCTGGTTACCGCTAGCGGGGTCAGTCCCCCCCTTGCCCGGGGGCCAGTTCTGGAGTTCAATTAAAAGAAATCGGGCTTAACCCTTTCCTCCCCGCTCCTGGCTGCCCCTCTCATTCCTCCTTCAGTGTTTCCACATGCTTTCCAGAGAGGAAAGAGGTTAAAGGGAGAGAAGAATGAATTACATCCTTTCAAACCCCAAATTGTTTCCTTTTCAGCCCAGACTCTACCGACCTTCAAACGACAACAGGGCTTTCAGGAGGGTGCGGGGAGAAGCTTCCCACAGGCCCTCACCAGAAACCTGCACCCTGGCCACACTGCTTCTCCTTCAGCCAGAAAGGACTCCACCCCCACCAGCAGAAGCCCCTTCCCAGTGCTGGCCCACCCCGCTGCACAGGCCAGCTAGGGGCCACCTCATGTGTGGGGACCACCCCCCTCTGCTCCCTGGGCTCCTCAGAAGGAAGGCACCCCTGGGTGACGCTTGTCTTCCCGACTCAGGTGGTCTGGGAAAGACCTCCCTGCACTGGGCACCAGCAGGGCTGGGCTCCATTCCCACCAGGTGCTGCTCCCCCTGGAGGTGATCACTATGAAGCTAGACTGGAGGGGCCTTGCCCCTGCTTTGCCTGTGGAACCCCATGGCACTTTCTGTTTCTGCCTGTAAGACGAAGCTGTGGCAACTGCGTGACTCTGGAGATGAAGGAGGGAGGCTGGCACAGCCCTGCCCTGGGCAGAGCACAGGCATCCTCGTTCCTCTGTGACTCAGGACTGGCCCTGGTGCCACCCCTCCTGCTGTCATGAGGAGCCCCTGTCCACCCTGGTCTCCACCCAGCCAGAGGAGCCCGAGCTGCACAGGTCTCGGGGAATCTCAGACCCCAGGTCCAGGGGGACAGGCTGGGGTGAGTGTGCCCCCATGTAACCCGGGTTGATGCTCATTTCTGCAGCTGCTGCCATTTTTTTTTTAACTTTTTAAAATCCCGGAGGGGGGGAAGCCCTAACCAAACACAACAGTAAACAAGTCTGCCCTGTTTAATGTGGTTACCACCAGACATCTGGAAAGATGGTTTGATCCTGGCTGCTCACATTGTTTTCGCGAGCAGCCAAAGAGAATATTTTGAATGTTTGCATTGAGACAAATTGATAGAGAGCCTGCGGTGAGGCCGCTACAAATGAAACGTCTTGTGCTGAGGGGCTCCCCCTTCCCTCTCCTCTTCTCCCTCCTCCCTGCTGCCCCTTCCCTCCTCCCTCTCCCAGGTCTGCTGTTCAAACTTGGAGATGTCTGCCACCACCCCACCCACGCTCACAACCAGGTCGCTGGGTCCCCGACACTGTGGGCCTAGCCCTCAGAGCCGAGAGCCGGGCTGGTGCGCAGCCCAGGCGAGCCAGCCTGAGAGGAGGGCTGCAGGCAGGCACGCCCACCAGCATTTAAGGCAGAAGCTGCCTAGGACTGCTGCAGACAAGATCCCAACCAGAAAAGGACCCGCCCAGGTTTCTAAGTCTCTGTCACTTACAGACGCATGTGACTGGGGGTGAATATTCAGGAAATATCCGGATTTGGGGATTTTCACTGGGAAATTGGTGAGAAGACTTTCCTCTCTTGCACCTGGACAAAATTTCCAAGATGTGGACGTCCTGTCTCTCCGGGGAGGGAGTGGTGGGGCCAAGAGTTTCTCAGCTGGCTCAAGGTCAACCCTTTTGACCTGGGCCAAGACTTTCTAGAAGGGCTTCCCGGGCTCCCCAGGTCCCAGCCAGGGTTGGGTGTGCCAGGACTGGACCAGCGACCAGCGACCAGCGACCACCAGAGGGGGGTCCCTGGGGTGTCCCAGGTTCGGGTAGCTCGGTCATTGGAAACTCCAAAGGATGCCAGGCCTGGCAGAGTGTTCCGGGCGGGCCCATGCCCCTCCAAACTCCTGGGTCCTCCCACAGGCTTGGGGCCAGCATGGCGCAGCGGGTATCCGAGCTGGCAGCCGGAGGGGAGGGAGGGCAGGCCACGGGAGCAGCGGGGCGGGGGCCAAAACTCCAGACTGCACAACTGCAGCTTCAAGTGTCTGGCCTCTCGCTCGAGGCCATAATTAATTTGAGATTTATTTTTATTGGAGAACCAGAGTCTCGTCTGACCTTAGCCAAACAAGGCAGCTCGGGCCGCCCTGGATGCGCTTGAATGCCGGGGAATATTTCGGCAGGAAGGCTCTGCAGGCGCGCCTGCTTTGAATTTGTTTCTCAGACTTCATCTACTCACAGATTGGAGGAAGATTTAGAGCCTCCGCTCGCCCTGCCCGCTCCCCACGCTGGTTCTGGCCTTAGCACTAGCGAGTTCAAAACGCTACGTGGGAGGCCCGCGGCAGCGGGAGGGTGAGGGCTAGGGCCCAGGAGGGGGAGGGTCTCAGTGCCTGAGCCCCAGGCGCTCCGGGCAGGCCCACAGACCACGAGGCGTCGAGGAGGAAACCCCAAGAGAGTCTCAGCTGACCAGAGAATGAAGGCTGACCAGATGTGAAGACCAGCCAGGTGTCCGGACCCTTACCCAGTGGTGGCGCCGGGATGGGGACCACCTTGGGGGTGGGGGTTCAACTTCTTCAGGCCCGGTCACCTTCTTCCATTGGCCCCAGACAACACTCATTCTCAGTGCAGACCTGTGTCCTTGAAGGGCAGCTCGGGACCTGCAGATGTGACGCCACCCCTGGGCCCAGTCTTCATGAACCTTCTGGGCTAGTAGCCCCCTTTCCTGGGTAGGGGTTTCCCAAGGAAAGCATCACCCCCAGGATGCAGCTTGGGGCCCCGTGGGCAGCCTGGAAGGTGTGGGGGTGAGGACAGGGTTCTGGAAGAGCAGAAAGAGGACTAGGTCCCGACGGGGTGGGCAGGGGCTTTCAGGGCCCTCTCTGGGCTGGAGAGACTTAGCCACAGGGTGCTCTTTGGCCAGGGCTGCTCCACGGAGCCTCTGGGTCCCTTCCCCCGTCACCCTCCCCCCCAACATTGTGAGGAATGTCAGGGTTGGGGGACCGAGCTTCCTGGTCCAATGCTAGGTCTGCATTCTACCACTGGTGGCTTTGCACAAGCTCCCTAACCTCTGTGCCTTGCTGCCCTCACCTGTACAGGGCACTGTAACTGCGTCTTCTTCTCAAAGCCCGCTGGTAGAGTTGATGGGAGTGTCCAGAACCTGCCAGGCCAGCACTTGGCCTTGTCCGCACTGAGGCTGTGCCCCTTGCCAGCTCTGTGACCATCCCTGCTCAACGCCTTGGTTTCTCTACAAAACGGCTGCCTCTCAGGGCCAAGGCTTGTTTAAATGAGTCAGTACCAAACTGGGCCCCCAAAAGGGAAAGGCAGGGCAGTCCCAGTCCCCTCCTCACCTGCTCTCACCCCCCTCTCCCTTCCCTTGCTCTCTCCAGCCCCGTCCCTGCCTAACAAGCTCTCCTGGGGTACCCTGCAGGCTTTCTTGTGGGTCCTAGAACCCTGATCACAGTCCAAGCCTCTACCCAATGGCATGGGCCCCCTGGTGCCCTCAGGGCTCAACTAGTTGGCTGGCTCCTGGGCCAGGCACCTGGGCCCTGGTGCTTGTCTGTGACACCCCAGTTCAACCAGGTGCCTGACAGGGACCCGAGGGACTTGACAGCCAGACTGTTGGTGTCCCTCCGCCAAATGGTTGGCCTTGGGGAGGCAGAACAGACCCAGTACTGTCCCTGCCTGGCCACCTCCACCGGCAATGCACCTTTGTGCAAGAGTACAAGCTCGTGGCTGCTGAAAAATCCATTTTTTTCCCTGAAAAGAGCTTGTGCGGGAGCAGCTCCTTTGGAGACCCACAGCTTGCAGACTCCAGCCTCCCCTGCCCCTGGTCTGCCGGGATCTCCCTGTTCCTCTGCATTTTCCGCGCTCTTGGGTGGAGGTCAGGTTCCTGGGCTCCCATTGTCCATCTACAGTTGTCATCCCTGAGGTTCTGGTCCCGGGTGTGTGCAGATGGGGGTCTGCCTGAGTGGGAGCGATGCTGCAGAGCGGCCCATTTAGCCCCTGGGACTGCTGGGAGTGCGAGCTGTCCCTGGCTCAGCCAGCTGGAGTGATGCGGTGGGAGGGGTTACAGCCTCCCAATTCGGATTTCAGAAAGCCTGACCTGAACCGGTGTCCTCTTCAGTCTAATCTTAGAATCCGCTCCGCACCTCCTGGGGACCGTGGGTTCATCCACGCGCTCACCGACGACTGATACATTATACACGCGCTTTCGGCCCACCTCTCAGTCCTGGAGGACCGGCCACGGCCATGCCCCCGGGTCCACCGGCCTGACCCGCACCGTCGCTCCTTCGACCTCCGTAGACTCCTTCGACCTCCGTGGGAGCGAAAGACGCCCTAGTTTCTCAGTGGGTTCCCTGGAGACAGAGCCAAGGAGAGTGGGACGCAGGGCCGGCGCTCCTCGGATGAGGCCCGAGACTCACGCCTCACTGCAGAGAGGCCCGCGCACTCTCCCGCACTTGGCTGGGCGCGGCGGGTGGGCGGCAGGGGGTGTGCTCCGGCCGGACTTCAGGATGGGGGGCCGGGCGGAGCCCAGAAGGTCTGGATTTGTCTGCCGCCCCGGTCTCCCCTCCTCTAGGCTAGGGCAGGGTCCGGAAACCCAGGCTCCGGGGCCCTCCTCCTCGGAAGGCAGGAGGTAGCGGCTGAACCCCAGAGGACACCGACTGTCCCACTCGGGGCGGGGCGGGCCCGCGCGCACCCCCGCCCCCCC